GCTGCTGCTGCTGCTGCTGCTGCTGCTGCTGCTGCTGCTGCTGCTGCTGCTGCTGCTGCTGCTGCTGCTGCTGCTGCTGCTGCTGCTGCTGCTGCTGCTGCTGCTGCTGCTGCTGCTGCTGCTGCTGCTGCTGCTGCTGCTGCTGCTGCTGCTGCTGCTGCTGCTGCTGCTGCTGCTGCTGCTGCTGCTGCTGCTGCTGCTGCTGCTGCTGCTGCTGCTGCTGCTGCTGCTGCTGCTGCTGCTGCTGCTGCTGCTGCTGCTGCTGCTGCTGCTGCTGCTGCTGCTGCTGCTGCTGCTGCTGCTGCTGCTGCTGCTGCTGCTGCTGCTGCTGCTGCTGCTGCTGCTGCTGCTGCTGCTGCTGCTGCTGCTGCTGCTGCTGCTGCTGCTGCTGCTGCTGCTGCTGCTGCTGCTGCTGCTGCTGCTGCTGCTGCTGCTGCTGCTGCTGCTGCTGCTGCTGCTGCTGCTGCTGCTGCTGCTGCTGCTGCTGCTGCTGCTGCTGCTGCTGCTGCTGCTGCTGCTGCTGCTGCTGCTGCTGCTGCTGCTGCTGCTGCTGCTGCTGCTGCTGCTGCTGCTGCTGCTGCTGCTGCTGCTGCTGCTGCTGCTGCTGCTGCTGCTGCTGCTGCTGCTGCTGCTGCTGCTGCTGCTGCTGCTGCTGCTGCTGCTGCTGCTGCTGCTGCTGCTGCTGCTGCTGCTGCTGCTGCTGCTGCTGCTGCTGCTGCTGCTGCTGCTGCTGCTGCTGCTGCTGCTGCTGCTGCTGCTGCTGCTGCTGCTGCTGCTGCTGCTGCTGCTGCTGCTGCTGCTGCTGCTGCTGCTGCTGCTGCTGCTGCTGCTGCTGCTGCTGCTGCTGCTGCTGCTGCTGCTGCTGCTGCTGCTGCTGCTGCTGCTGCTGCTGCTGCTGCTGCTGCTGCTGCTGCTGCTGCTGCTGCTGCTGCTGCTGCTGCTGCTGCTGCTGCTGCTGCTGCTGCTGCTGCTGCTGCTGCTGCTGCTGCTGCTGCTGCTGCTGCTGCTGCTGCTGCTGCTGCTGCTGCTGCTGCTGCTNCGTTTAACGCTACTTGAGTCTTATTCTCTCGATCCAAATATTCCACACCCAGCAGGGCTCATTTTTTTCCACCAAGACCTATTATTATATTAATAAAATTCTTATTCTAAAATTTTTTTTACAATTTCCTTATAAAAATAAATGTAAAAATGGTGAATAACAAATAACTTGACCGAATGAAAATAATTTTTATTGTATTAGTGTAATTTTCTGGTATTTACAACTTTATTTTTTTTGGGCAATTCGGTGCCTATACAGTCATCATTATGAACATTAATACTTTCACACATTTATTCATGCGGTCATGGGTAACTTCTCAGTCGTTACACTCATATTATCACCAATAAATATTTGTTGAATCATGAAGGACTATCCGTACATTGTTGTTTTTTGCGGATCTCAACGTTGTATCGAAGGTATCCAATTTAACAACTTTCTTTGTAAGACTTTGTTTTTCTTTCATTATTTTTTTGTAGTTTCGATTCGCCTAATATCATTATAATGGGCGACGCAAGTTTTATGAATTTTAAAACTTTTGATGTTTCGAATTTTCAAAAATTTGTCGTCAAGCCTTTTCTTGCTCGATGCAACGATGATCTCTCGGCCTTTTTCGGAGACCACGTACGAAGATTCATTGTTCGCTTTGCCGCAGATGATGCTAACATCTGATGACGAAGTTAGTAAGTAGACGTTTCCGCGGGAGAAGTTGTTGGCTCCAACGTAAACTGAAATTTGTGCACATTTATATCATAATTGTACACTCACTTGTGACCAAATACTCAGAGAAAAATAATGCCAATACGTGTGACTGTATCTTAAAGAATACTTGTTTTTATTCATGATTATTCGTGACAACAGTCGTGTAATAAGTACAACGCATCATCGACGTTGTTTTATGACGCACACGCATGAGACAAAGTAAAAAATTAAACTACAAAGTATATTATTTTTGTGTAATTTATCATGTACCTACTTAGATGTTGCATACTTACCGCGTTATGGTAGATAATAAATCGCAGTAAGTAGTTAGCGTCATCAGTATTGCTCGATATATATCTATCGAGGTAACCTAAAATGTATACATATATATTTCACTGGGTTATTTGTTTCTTTATTTTTTTTTAATAAATAACTACTTGCGTAACGCAGTGTTTTCAGGACCCCCCCCCCCCCCCCCGACACGCACGTCAACAGAGTCAGTGCGAATCGGCAAATTTGAAAATCAAATGTTACTCAGCAAATAAGCTAATCAAACTTATTTTGGTAAACGTAAAAAATTTTCTAAATAATTTATTACAATTGAGCATCTTAACGAGGAAGTGGTAAAATTTTAAGAAAAAAATGTTTCAATCATGCGGTAGGTGGACCATCTTTGTCGATAAAAAAAAATACTCAAATATAGCATAACGCGTTACAAAATTTATTTACAATACATACAATTTCGATTTTTTCCAAACAAATAAATGTGTTTTAATTAAATTTTTATGGTTTATTCAAAACATTAAAAAACGTATTCACCAACAGTTTCAGGTACGTGAGTGCTTTTTATTCGAAATGAAAAAGAAAAAATTTCGGCACTAATTATGAACGAGTAACTTGATGTTTTGACGTAAGTAACGTTCAAGTATACCGTACTTACCTTTTTCTGTTTTGATGTATCATCAACTTCATGATACTAATCAAAAAGGTGAGTTACGCGATGACTGCTGTTAAAATCAATGAGGAACAGGTGATGTTATTGGGTAATTTTAAAGGACAAAAAATCATGGCTTTTTATAGTATTGCACGAAAATTGTTCGAATCTGCAGTGTATCAACAGAGACGAAGTAAGTACCGTAATCACCTACATGCACGTGAAAATCACGATTTTTAAGATTGTAACAGCTTATTTGCGTACCTCACAGTTTATCACTTTGAGAATATTGAACGTAAATTTTTTATTTTCGCGGCATAATATTCTTTTTCTTGCGTAAGCCAAAGTAATTCAAAGAGTCGCAATTTGAAAATGTATACACAGATCCAAACAATTGAAATTTCAATGATCAAAAGTATTGTGAATATTAAATATATTTTTAGAAAATTTTAAATATATTTTTTTAGTTTTTGGCGATGAAAACTAATATACTTACCGTAAATTTAAAAAATCGAAAGGCTGCGTATTTTTAATCCATTTACAATACTATCATTGTGCTGTTAATATATTGAACCTACCGTTGTCTTCGATATTTTTGAAATATTTTTATCAGCTTTTTCCGCTATTCATATCCTCAGGATCACATTCCCCATTTTCATATCTCGAAAATATTGTTTTTCTTTTTTTTTTTCGCTAAAAAATCATGCAAATAATTGCGATATTTTTAGTCCCACGATTTTTTTGCAACCGTGCGTATGTATAAATCTATTAGTCTCAATTTTGAAAGGCGAATCTAAAAAAAGCGCGTTTTCGAAGGGTTCTCCATTTCGGCGCTGTAAATATATTTTCTTTATTTTCCTTTGATCAAAAACTTTACGTACGATTTCGAGCCATCCGGTATGCTACGTTCAACACCAAAAATACAGTTACGTAATAAAAAAACTATCCCATTTCAAATTAAACGTATCGAAAAAATAGTAACAACCGTCCATCACTCAGTAGCAAAGAAACAAAACGTCATGCAATCAAACTGAAAAAGAAAACAATATACCGTATCACCACCCAAATCGATCAAAGTTCATATATCCTTATACACACATAATACACCCTAATGGAGACTATCTATCCTCTCCCTCCCGATTTTCAATTTCCATTAAGTAAATCGGGTGAGCGCGCCCGTTGTTTACCGTGCTTTCAACCCCCTATTGGAATTTCATTGACTCTCCACTCAAACGCAAATACAGCCCTTTTACAACTATTTTGTCTCCAAAGGAACGAAATGACCCTTTTTGTAATAATAATAATCCTAAAACACAAAGCAACAAGCTCTCGTGTAGTCGCCGAGTGTACAATACACATGCTAATAATTACTTATTCCACTCCCCCATGCATGTACTCACCCCGTTCCCAAAGACGTTTGTTTCAATCCTACGACATTCGAAACTTACATCTCATCAACCGGCACCTCCTAGCTTTAATCATGCATTCATTAAATACAAAAGTATCGAAAAAACATGATGTATCTTGTTGATTGTGATTCGAGCCTGTCCTGTTCCCGGCGATAATGTATCATGTTTACTTAGATGCAATTGGCTTCCATTGGCCCATAAATCAAATAACTAAACACATTCGCATGATTTACCACGAGTTAATACACGAAACACTTTAATTTTCGTAAAACGAGTATTTTACTTTTGTCGCGATAATTAAAAATATGTACGTACTATTTAACATCTCTGGGTGTAATTAACATTTAAAAAAAGTCACCCTCGATCAAGCTACTCCGGCTCATCTCTCGGCAAATTTGCTCACCGAGACGAATCTCATCTATATATAATGTAGGCTACATCATCATGTACCACCCACGAAAAGGTCGCGCCTGCGTGTCATTGCCAAAAGGGTATATATGTACATAAATGTATCCCTACACGTACAAGCGAAAGAGCGAGCGCGTCTCGCGCGCTATATGGATAAGTACAGCAAATAAGCCCGTGCATCGTTTTTTCTCTCAGAAAGTGTTTCAAGTAAGGAAACAATCGCAGTGCCACTCCGACACCAAGTAAGTAGGACACGGAAGCTCACATTGCTTATACATATAATATACATGTATATAATATATCATTTCGCGTCGCCTCGTGTGTTCACCCACACCCCAGCTCCGTGAACCTCTGCAGCGGTAGTCGATTGAAAAAACATTAAAAGATAACAATTTCTCCTCCGGATCAATCCAGCACAAAGAGAGAGAGAGAGAGAGAGATGCTACCGCGGATGCAGCAGCTGCTAGCTTCGAGAACAAGCGCCGCCGACTGGTGATATCGATTTCTCCCCCCGACCAACCAACCAACCCCTTTTATATATACATATTTTCCCCTCTCGGTCGGAGGGTGTTCTCTCTCTCTGTCAGTGTGCCGCGCACCACACCACACCGTTACCCGCAGCGAGAGAGAGAGAGAGAGAGCTCTTTTTTGTGTTTGTTTTTTTTTTTTCCATTCCCCTCGCCCCCGCATTGGCAGATGAGGCGATTATTTCCACAGTGACGGTACACACGAGTGCGGAAAAAGAAGGACTCGAGGCAAAAAGACAAAAAAACCTAACTAACAATGTACTTCGGCAACTTGATGACCGGGGTGTCGTTGCGCAAGTGTTTTTACTTGTCGGCCGTGGTGCTCGTCCTGTCGACCTTCATGGCAGCCGTGATAATCGTCAAACTGTCGCCCCTCGAGTCGGTCAAGTGCCAGCCCCAACCAGTCACCGCGCCCGTCGACTGGAGCACCTTGGCCAACGACAACAACAACCTGCCGACCGACCCTGCTGCTACCTCCACCAGCACGACGACAACCACCTCGGCCACCCTCATCCGCGCCGTACAGTGAGTCGTTGTTGATCCTTTTCCTTCTTTGTTGTTTCTTTGTTTTTTGTTTTTTTTGTTTTTTTCTCCCACCTGTAAGAACATATATGTATGTATATATAAATGTGTGTGTGTGTATGATGAAGCGACAACGCCAGGGACAACGAGCGTAGGTACCGGGAGATGCGGGAAAAGATGATACAGACCAAGATAGCGAGGATGTCGCGGAAGATGCGCAACCGGGTGTTGCCGCTCGTCAACTCGAGCACCCCCGTCGAGCCGAATTACAACGTCCACGTGTTTTACTACGCCTGGTACAGGTCCCTCGATTACGACGGCGCCTGGGCCCACTGGAACCACCAGATACTCCCCAATTGGAAGCGCAACGACAAGCGCGTCTTCCCCGAGGGTGGACACACGCCACCGGCCGACATTGGCGCCAACTACTACCCCAACTTGGGCTGCTACAGCTCCATGGATCCCCGCGTCATCGACCTCCACATGAGACAGCTCAGGGATGCCGGTATCGGTGAGCCAAACAACTCTCTCCCCTCCTTTCCAGCCAGCTCGTGGGAATGGTTAATTCATTTACATATTATATCCTTAAGGGGTGGCCGTGGTGTCGTGGTCGCCGCCGAGCAGTACCGACAACACCGACTCGGTCATGCCGGATCTGCTGGACGCGGCGCACAGGTACCAGTTGAAGGTAGCGCCCCACATAGAGCCCTACCCCAACCGCAATCCCATCAACCTCATGGAGCACATAAGGTACCTCCTGAATCAGTACGGCTCCCACCCGGCTCTCTACAGAATGAGAAGGGAAAACGAGTGAGTATACACGATTAAGCTCTTTTGTTTTACATGTACGTTGTTTATTTGTACTTACGTGGTTTTCCGTGGTTTTCCCTCTGAAAGCGGTGCCATCCTGCCGGTGCTGTACATATACGATTCCTACGTGTTCCCGTCGAGCGCCTGGTGGGAGCTGCTGTCCGACCGCGGCAACGTGACTTTCCGCGGCACCGAGCTCGACGCCATCTACATCGGCCTCCTGGTCGACTCGCAGCACAAGAACCACATAAAAAAGTCCCACTTTGACGGGTTTTACACGTACTTTGGCATCAACGGCTTCAGTTACGGCAGCTCCTGGAAAAACTGGAAGGACCTGAACAAGTTCGCCAACCAGAACGGGCTGCTCTTCGTCCCGAGCTTGGGTCCCGGTTACGTGGACACTCAGGTGAGCCACCACCACCTCCTCCTCAACGATAATGGATAATGTTATACACGACAACTGTGCGTATATTTGTTAGGTCCGTCCGTGGAACAACGAGAACACGAGGAACAGGCGCCACGGTCAGTACTACGAGGTGGCGTGGCGCAGCGCCCTCAACAGCGGGGCGACGACGGTGTCGATAACGTCGTTCAACGAGTGGCACGAGGGCACGCAAATCGAGCCGGCCAAACCGGTGAGCAACAAGGACTTCACTTATCTCGACTACGAGCCCGACGGCCCGTACTTTTACCTCAACCTCACCAAGTGGTGGGTCCAACAGTTCACCGCCAAACTCGGCACGCCCGGCTCTGCCCTCAGTTAATTCGTCCACGGGACGCTTTGTTGTTGACCTTGTTGTTGTTTGTTGGTGGTGTCTTTTTTTTTCCTTTTCTTCCTTTACCCCTCCCCCCCCCCCCCGTTGAAGCGAGTCAGGGGGGTGTTTTTGGCTTTGCGCGTGTATAGGGCGCTCTGTCATCCGGCCAAAGTTTTCTACAGCGGCGCTCTATTGTGGAACGGCCACGTTTTTATTTTTTTTTTTTTCCATTCAAACAGGGTTTTTAAACGAATAAGTGTACGAGAGAAGAGCGACGAACGGTTTATTACGTGTATTGTTTGGCTTTGCACTGACAGAATTTTTTTTATTCGTTATCATTTTCATAAGCATATATATATATATATATATATTTTTGTACGATTGCGTCTGACTCGTTTTTAAAATCGATTGGTATATTTCTCAATTAAGTTGCGCATACGTGAGGATAAAACAACCCAATTGATGCAGATGCATAGTGACGATGAACAAGTAATATAAATGTGATAAGCGTTGAGAGGGAGAGAGGCAAAGTTTGATCGGTTCACCGGGTGGACATTTTCACGAACGAGTATAGCAAAAAACTTTTGTAGCATCGTGTATTCAAGTACATCATGATGGTATAGAAAATAGTTTCGTATGTAATTAAACACAAATTTGATGATTAAAAACTTTTTGAGATTAGTTGTTAAAAAGCGTGTAATGATTGCACCGGCATGAATTTTAATACGACTTTACTACTTTACACCGATTTTAATGAATTTTCACGGCACCCACGGAACTTCTTATACATACCTAAATATATACAAGTTATTTTGCACCAAGATTTACTATTCCACAACTTTGAGAAAAAAAAAAAAAACAAAAAAAACAACCTTCTTAATTATATCCTAGGCACTATAAAACTTATTCTAAACAAAAAAAAATGGTTACAATAATTATTAACGTACAGTTTTTATAAGAAAAAAAAAATTAAAAAATAAAGTCTTTCGATTCTTGAAACAAAGCGACTGGAAAAATAATTTTCTCAATCGCCAATGTACATCTCACATGTGATCACGTAAAGAAAAAAAAAAAAAAAAAAAAAAAAAAAAAAAAAAAAAAAAAAGACAACTTTTTCGTCATTATTCTATACTATACATTATATATTTACTTTCATATCGCGAGTATAGACTTGAATAGTTGCGTAAGAAATATCATATAAGTTTGAAATTGTTAATTATTTTATTCAAGGTCAAGACGTGGTTAAGTATAAGCTTTGAAGGTGTCTGTAAGAAGGTTAAAGAAGGGCTTTTTAATTTTTTGTTGTTTAAGATTGAGGAGAGTATCAATAAAAAAAAAAAAAATAAAAAAAATAAAAAAAATTTAAAAGAAAAAAAAATGGATGGCTAAAGATATAACTCACGACCAAAGCTGAGATACAATAATAGCGGTATTAATAAAAATGGATTGTCTCAAGAGACTGAACGAAAAAGGTGAATATGAAAAAAAAAAAAAAAAAAAAGTATTCTACCGCAAGTTACACCAAATATTTATTTTAAAAATTTCTTTGTTTCCCGCACGAGAACAAAGCAATTAAAGGTGCTAGGACATAACATGATATTTTGAAAAGTGCTATTAGAAAGACACAAATAAAAGGGATTCCTGGACTAATATTACAAAGTGATTCTATAAATTTTTACTACTAATTTAACTTACTTTTTTCTACTAAAATGTTTAATAGACTTTTTTATCAATTAGGAAACAAAAATTCGAATCTGTCGAGTGATAAAATTAACATTACGATGTTAAACCAAAAGTATTGAAGGTACGCCTTTATGTCCAATTCGAGTACTGATATAAAAAAAAAAAAAAAATCATGCTCTGTGCGTATGAATATATAATTATTTCTAATCGTGATATTAAATACTTGTAATTTTTTTTATTAAAACTTGCCAAATATTTTTTCAACTTTTTTATGTATACATTTATACTTCCATTAATATTGCGTAATTTGGTTAATTAAAAATAAAGAACGGATAATGCATTTTAATTAAAAATTTGGTGTGGCTTGTACGTAAATGTGTATTATAAATAGACAATAACGAAAAAAAGTCCCTGTCCCATTTGTCACAGGGTAATTCTTCCTGTACCTACGATTATCGGGTTTGAGAGACGAGAAAATATTTCGCACCTCAGAGCACATCAAACATTTTATCGGTAGATTTTTAAAAACTTGAATAAAATTTTCGACAGTTTTTGCAATTTTTCGAATTAAATCTAATCAAAGTTTAATCTGAAAATTGGAAACAATTGAGCCGAAAAATAAAATTATTTTTATTAGTACTAGAATTCAGATAAACAATTAGTTTGGTAATCCGTAAACTTGCAAAAATTATCGATAAAATAACTGAAAAAAATGTTTGAGAGATGTAGCCTTTAAGTTAAGTATAAGAAAAAATAAAAGTGGGATGAAAATGAAATGTTTACCGATTTACACGGTCAGAAAAATTTAGAAAATCTTTTTACGTATCTAGATGTTTAGATGTAACAGAAAAAATAATAATAATAATAATAAAAACAAGCAAACAAATAAACTGCCCGATTGACAGAAAGTGGTTCAAGATTAAGATTTTTCTCTTCGTTTTGTAATACATATAGTTATGATATAAGGCGTATTGTAAGGTAGGGACTTCAACTCAACATTTTACATTTTTCTAAATGTTCTAGAAATGATTTTTCACAATGCAGGATTTAATTTTGAAATAAAAAACTTTTACTTTATGTTAAAAAAAAAAAAAGTAAGTGAAATATAGTCCAGGCAACACAGCTCAATCTTAGAATGAGAAGAAAAACAGAACAGTACATAATACAGGTGCTCATAACACACGTTAAACACAATCACACATACATATCGACACGCAGTGAAAAATATCATGTTAACACTGGCAGGATTGATCAGTTGATTTTAACTTTAAAATGGAAAGATGCAAAAAATTAATTTTTTACGCAAGAATATTTTTCTTCATAGTAAGAACAAGGTGCTCAAGTTTCAAGTTTAGTGCAAAAACTAACATTGAGGGCAAAAGAGATGGAATCTACGATCGGTGTTTTTAATCTCTTACTTTCGCAGTACTCATTGTAATACATGTATTATAAACCACTTGTCGATTTTGGCATATATCCATTTTCAATTTTATGCTGGAATTAAAAAAAAAAAAAAAAAAAAAAATGAGTAAAATGAAAGGAATGAGAGCGAAAAAAATAAAGAGAATACTTGTGTGTGGAAATGTTAAGGGTATGTCCGTCTTTATTTATTTTGTAATGATCGAATATTGAAACTTACACGTATTACACCTTATAAACATGAAAAATTGCCCTGTTCTCTTCAATACTTGTAAACTCGTTGAAAAAAAATTATATGTCAAGTGAAAAATAATGTTGATCCGCACTTAAGGACGTTCGGTAGAGATAGAACTCTGTGATGAATCTTTTTGAAATTTTAACCAGACGTTCTTATTGTTGTTACGATAAAGCTGTTAAAATTTCAAGAGGTTCGTCTGTTTCGTTTCCGAGATATTGAATTTCAAAGTTCAGTCATCTTAACACGGTCGCTTATGGGAAAACTTATAAAAACTCAGTTTTAAAAAAAATTGACGAGATGAATGTCTCCAATTTTTTCATATGTCACAGATAATGTTATCAACTATATGTATAAAAATTTTCGTGATGATCGTCTGATTAGTTTATGAATAAAAAAATTAAATAATAGTTCGACAAAAACGTAACGGCAACGTCGCAAGAAGCGGGAAATTCAAAATGTTCCAGAACGTACATTTCAGTAAATTTTTGAATATTATAGTAGATATTTATGTATTTCTGTATAAAACATAAGCTTGTATATGTGTGTGAGTGTATGTACATAGGTTCCACCCGTACCCATAACAAAACAATGTATTGTAATAACACATATTTATTTTTCTTAGTAAAATTTTTAATTTGTAATTTTTATACGATACAATTTTTTTACACAAGACAACAAAATCATATGCTTGTAGTAATTGCAGAGACTAGAGTATGTCCTAATTATTTAACATATCACTTCCAATGAGACTTTTCAAATCACATAAAAATTCAAGAATTTCATTTACATTAGCTACGAATATAATTATATGTACATATATATGTCACAAGTCTTTTTAATTATTTACTCATTTTTATTGCATTGTTATAACGAATAAAAATCAAATACTTACATCTTTAGCACAAATACACACATACGCTGCCGTAACCAACGCAGCATCTATGTACATGAACACTCACACATTGGAGACCCGTGCGACGAAGACCCCAAGTCTTCACTCATCGCTATACTTCCCCCTTGCCCCGCAAGTGGTTCCCCCCCGCTATCTCTACCGAACGTCCTTAAAAAAAAAAAAAATAAAAAAAAAAATAAAAAAAATAGATATTACTAATAGAAAAATGAATTTTCAAGTTGTCCAACACAGAATAAATCAAATATTTCAACACTGTAAAGGTATTTGTATCCACAGTAAGTACATGGAAAAGACGTGCGATGGAAATAAAAGGAGCTAAAAAGACAAAGAATAAAATGTTAGGAAGAAAATGTAGATTTACGAAGAAGTGTCATGACATGTCAGTCGAAGTTGTATGTACGAGAAGGAAAATAATATGAAATAAAATAATTATTGACGAATTATTTTACCTTATTGAAAATCCTTATAATTGCTAGCTGTTTCGTGCACTACAAAGTTTGCAACGTTTCTCGAATATACATAAATCGTGAATATCAAGAGTATTGTTACCATCAGCTACTTTGGATGTTTTTTAAGTTTCAGGATCTTAATACCAAAGCCTATTTAAGTTTGAGGGCATTAAATTACATATTATTTGTTAGAATCACGTATTATTTTCTGAATATATCGTTTTTATTTGAAAAATTTGTCGTACAATATCTCTGTTATGGACTTGAAAACAACTTTATTGTCATTTTTGTTACGTTTTTTGATGAGAATTATATCATGGAGAACTAGGTGTGAGAAAAAATAAGGTCCACAAGTTATAGTGGACATTCAACTTTGGAAATTATAAAAAATAGAATTTTACGATTGTTTAATGTAGTTTTTGTCCGATGTTAGAGGATGAAAATAATTTTGTACACGTGATGAATTGATTTTTTTCCTCTCAGAGTTCATGCAATGACTGGACCATTTCAAACCATACTTAGTTTTTTGTGCTAAATTTTTTTTTCACAGCCTAAATAGTGATTTTATACGTTACATTGGTCTCTGGAAATAATTTCAATAATCAAAAAACGTTACTTGCCTGTTGCAGATATAAATTCCAATTCTACAACAAAATGTTGAATACAAAAGTTGTTGAGCACATCAAAATGAAACTTTTTTGTACCGTAAGTTTTTCTCCAAAGTGCCGTCTTAACAAATTAATCGGCAAAAATCGTTTCAAAATAGCCAAAAAATCGTTTTACACCATCTAACTTTTCTACATTACACTTTTAGCCAAAATGTATATGTAATACTTTACACAAGGAAAATTAGTTTGAAATATCCAACAAATCATTTGATATCATGTACCATTTTTATACTTTACCTGAGAACAAAGTGTTTCATGCAAAACTTAAAGATTTGATTGAAATACACTTTTTTGTGTTTATTATTTTCGTCCATACCGTTTCTATACGAAAATATAAAAAATATACAGTTGTAACTCACATGATGGCGCGATGATGTTCCAATAAAATTAATTTGTCACACCCTTTTCTCGATGGAAGGAATTATGTACATTATATTTTGAAGTAACACAGGTGCTCGTCAAATATCGAAAAATCAAGTGCAGAACCGTTTATGACTTATTGATAATAGTTTCTCACCAATAATGCGAATACCGGCGAGTTAAATTTAAAATCTCTTAGCAGGGTATATCCCCAACTTGATACATCGCCACCCTCTTGATTTACCTTAACCGACTAAAAAAAAAATGGTTGCTCCAGAAATACAATGTGGTGAAAGAGCTCAGGAAATACACTGAACTGATTGATACAAAACAGATTTCTTTACAATTTCCTTCACGGGGTTTTACTGAGGTATTACCAGAGAAAAAAATGTAATTATTCATATGATTACTACTTCATCTTTAAAAAATGTAAATTTAATATATTATACGTGTTATAAACTCTTAGACAATTTTAAATAATTATCACCTGATGAAGATTAAATTTGGTTAACATATACCTTGACGTCCCACTGGAACGTTACTATTAATACGTAGTATAGTTTCTCTGTAAAGACTTTATTGTTTGAGGTATCAACTCCTCTTCGATTAAGGCCAACACTTCCTGCCGAAGTATCGGAATGGCTAATCCTTTTTTTTTTTCTTCTTTTTATTCAAATTAAATTCTGTCTTATCAATGAGAGTTTTAAAAGTACCTGTAAAATAAAGAAAATTCTGAGGGAGAAATCCATTACGAAATATTGGATGTCAGAAATTCAGTTATAAAAACCGTCCAAGGCTTTTCATCCAAAAATCTACGCCTCTACTCCTAAAAAAAAATGTTGTCTCTCTGTAATCATAGCAGGTTAACACTCCTAATTTGTCTTCTTACGACGAAAACATACAACCCTGGTGGACGAGTAAGTTTAGTATACTGTACTCAACACACTCTGCCTTCCCTGTCGCACCTTGCGGCTGGCTTTTTTCAATGACCATCAAACAATTTTGGTAACGTTATTGATACACTGCAGTACACCAGAAGTCACTAAATATTTTTGCGTATAAAATTTAAAAAGTACAAACAAACGGAAAAATCAGCCAAGACCCACACCGAACTTCGATGGAGAACCGACTACTTGTCTGGTACACCCGCAAAACAACGACCGACCCCCCCCTCCAGGCAGCACATTCGATGGACAAAAATAATGTCTTGGTATGTAATTACCTCGAGTAGGTAAGATTCACTGCGTGCGCGCATAAGATATACGTATAAGATGATTACACTTAATAGCTCCAGTTTTCTTCGATTCGAACAAAGGAAGCCCGATACCCGCGTCGCGCAAAGACGTTATATTTCCCCGGAAAGTATAGGCTAAAGCTGATCCGGCGACTACCGAAAAAAAAAAAAAAGGAAAAAAAGGAAAAAAAGAGGATGAAAGAAACAAAGAGGCACCTCGAGAGGTCAGAGTTCAACGAACTGGCTTGGGTGCACTTGGTGCTGCTGCGACTACTCGGCCTCGTGGCGTTCGACTCCCGATCCCCGAACTTCTGGCCAAGTCGTCTATTGTGTCTCTTCATGTACAGCTGCAACATTTTAGTGACAAGTATGTACACATGTTGTATAGCGAGGAGTTTAATTTCAACTGGACGAGCCGATGTCCAAGTTGTCGCCGAATGTGTTGGCTTGTGCGGGGTGCACTTGCGTTTTCTTATTACCTACGCAAACCGTAAGAGATTGGAAAAGTTGCTGAATGAAGCTCGTAAACTTTGGCTCGAGCTTACCGACCAAGAGAAGTGTCTTCTCAGGTAACGCTTTTTTAACTTTGCATATTGTCGATTATTTTTTCCCATTGACCCGTGATATTAATAAACAAAGCAGAAGCTTCGTCAATAGGAGTGCCCAGGTCACCAGGTATTATCTTTCAGTATGTGCGGGACATGTACTGTTGTACGTAGTCCCCGATCTGATACGATTTTTGCTCAACGACATTCGTTTGCTACCCTTCCCTTTTTACGGCGAAGTGACAGCATCGCCTGGTTACGAAATTTCATTTTTCATGCAGACGATCGGTCTGATAGGCATCTGCGTGGCTGCGTCGGGTATTGACACCACAGTACTTTTTCTCATCATGTTTGCCAGTGGTTACTCTAACATTCTGGGAACTAGATTTTCAAGCATTGCCAAACGCTGCGAAGGACATGCCAATGGGCCATTCGTGTACAAGGAGATGATTAATGTGACGCAGTGCCATCAGAGAATCATTGAGTGAGTACTTTCTTTTCTTTCAGTTATTTTTAAGTCCAGGATTATTGCGGCCTTGCCTGCGTGGCCGTTGGGGGTCATACAAGCAGAATACTTTTTTGTGAATTTTTTTGTTGAATTTTTTGAATTTCTATTCTGGTTGTTTGTTTAGATTTTGTGAAAGGATGAGCGAAATAACGAGTCCGTTGTTTATGGTCCTGCTGATTTGTACGACGTACACCATGTCGTTGATTGGATTGAAAATTGTTGGGGTGTGAGCATGAAATTAACGATGTAGAAAGATAATATCGACAGTACCTACTAATGATTGTTTGCACTTACAGACAGATCCAGATAAGTACAAGGGAGCGACCGTGTTGATAATCTACGTTGTCCAATTATTTACGTGCAATTGGGCTCCAGACGTTTTGGCCACCGAAGTAATGATAATGAAAATAATGAAAGATAAATTTAAAAAAAAATTGTTTGACATTGTGACGTATTCAGAGCGGTGCTCTAGACAAGAGTGTATACTTTCTCACAACGACGGACCAAAACGACAAAGAAATTTCAAAACTCCTGAACATAGTGATGATGAGATCACAGCGACCTATTCAATTGACTGTTGCTGGCTATGTCAACCTATCGATGGAATGTTTTTCTTCTGTACGTCATTTATGCACACGCACTCGGTGATAATGTATCCTTTATCTTTTTTTTTTTTTTTTTTTTTAACTTTTCCTTCTCAAATTGATACTTCAAAATCTAAATATAATATTTGGGCACGACTGCTTTACTCGAATAACCTTCGGTATGCTTTTAGGAAAACAGTACAATTACCCATACGTAAAATCACTAGTCATCACGGGTGAGATAAAAAGTGAACAATTTACAGATCACGTTCTTGCCACCCGAGATGATATGAATCATTTTGCAGAAAGTGTTGTTATAGGATTTGCGGTTGGAGATCATTCTCATAGTTTCATATCATATATCCAAGTGAATTTTATGTTTTGTCACCACCAAATGTCAAATAGTCAAGTAACATTGTACAAAACAATTTGGCAGCCACTTCCAAATGTTTTTGTTGTATCTTGTCTTTCAAAAAACCATATACACGAAAATAATTAAAACAAAAAAAGTGTGTTTCAATAAGATCTATGAGTTTTGCACTAAACATTTTGTTCGCAAGTAAAATATGAGAATATTAACTTATTCGTCGGCTATTCTAAACTAATTTTTATTGTGCAAAATATTGGGACCGCAGCATGGACGAAAATAGTCAATACAAAAAAGTGTAAAGTTCATAATAGCTACAATTTTTGTACTTAATATTTCGTCTACTAACTATAGAGAAAAAATTACTGAAAAAAAGATTGATTACCATGAGTTGTACAACTTTTGTACTCAGTACTTTGTTGTAGAATTCGAATTTTTTTTGTTCACGTACAAAAAATTATTTTTCCGCCCTCGGGTGGTTTTGGGAGGCTGGTACTTCCTCGGGCGAAAAAACAGTTTTCCGCCCTCGGGTGGTTTTGGGAGGCTGGTACTTCCTCGGGCGAAAAAGCAGTTTTCCGGAACTCGTTCGAAAAGTCTCCTTTATGAACCTCGTTACGTCCCTCGCCTTCGGCTCGGGCCGCAAACCTCTCGGTTCGCAAACAGAGACTTTTCAAACTCGTAGGAAAACTACTATTTTTGCATCAAAGATCATCTGAATTGCAAAAAAAGATTATTTTATTGCGACAACTTTGTCTCTGAATACAAACGTGTAAAGTGTATGTGTTAAACTCGGAGCCCAAAAAATTATTCTTCTTACAGTGCTATAATAAACATTCTGCCTATAGAATTTGAAGTTACCTACGAAATTGAAGCTTTTTTAGATACTAATTATTTGAGTTAATCAAAAAAACTTAACTTAACTAACGTTCACACGTACATACTTACACCATGTGACGACCAACTCAGGCAACCCTCATGTTAAGTTCAAAATGTGTTTTGTATTGAAAATAGACGATTTACAAGTGGTTATACTTTTTTTTCTGACAAAAAAATTCAATAAATTGGTCGTGCCTAAAAACCCACTTGATGTGAAAAATAACAAACGTAAACGATTTTCTATTTTTCAGATGATCACGAGCGCCGTATCTTTTTTCACGGTTCTCCGAAGCATGAAATAGTACAAGCTTTCGAGCATCGTAAACAACAAGACGAGCGTAGTAATTTTAGTAGCCAATGAATTTTAAACAAAATATCACTGTTTTACATCATCTACGTGAACACGCGTTTTTGGCTGTTTATTATTGAGTGTAATTGCTTTTCAATGACGCGTAACATCATCCATCCATTACAAGTGATCATTACTCATCGCCTAACACATAACGAACAATAACTGATGCAAAAATCGATTAGCCAAATTATTCATTGAGTAGAGGTATGAAAAAAAAATCGTAGTTCTTCGTGTCACGAAACAATAGAAGCTTGTTCCACATCACATAAATAATAATAAAAAAAACATAAGTTACCATAGCCAACTAATTTAAAAAATTCATTTGCCACCCAAATCTTTCAGCAACTTACGACAACGTGATAGGTACAGGCAGATCGATTAACGTGACAACTTGAAAGCGCAACCCACCCACACCGGCCTTCTTCGTAAAACCACAAAACTTCAGCCCTGCAATTAAAAAAACCCCTCTATCCATCCCGACCACAGAGCAAAGCTTGGATCGATCACCAAAAGAAACATTGTTCAGTCGAGCCAACGTGTTCTTGATGGAGGAGACCTCGAGGTTTTACCGGCACGTCCACCGAGTCCAGATGCGTATTTTAGTATTCGCCGGCCTCGTGGCCCCCGAGACCGGCGCCTTGAATCCCCTCGCCACGAGCGTCTACGTGAACCTGGCCTTCGCCACGGTCAGCAGCGTCTACATCTACACCTTCGTCCAGGACTGCCTCGACGCGCGCTTCAATCCCGGGATCACCTCCGAGCTTTTTTCCTTCGTCGGCTTCCACCTGCGCTTCGTTTACATCCTCAGCCGGAGGGACAAGCTCGGCCGGATGCTCGAGTAAACGCGCCCGGGAAACATATATAGTACACCTATATTAACAGAGAGAAAAAATAAAAAAAGAATTGTCCTGCAGGTACGTCGAGGGTCTCTGGCGGGGGGTGACGAGCGAAGAGAAGATCCACGTGCGCCGGTTTGTGCGCAAAGCCAGCAGGTTGAGCGTTTGCTACTCTGGTATCATCCTGACGACGATAACCCTGTACGTGTTGTCGAGCCAGTTGCCTCAATGGACGGCGGGGTCGAGCAACGCTACGGTCCATCGAGTGCTGCCCTATCCCTTTTACGTCGATGTCCAGGTGAATGAGTGCGTGATGTTTTTTTTTTTTTTNTTTTTTTTTTTTTTTTTTTTTTTTTTTTTTTTTTTTTTTTTTTTTTTTTTTTTTTTTTTTTTAATAATTTTCGATTGGTCCGAGGTAAAACAATTTCTTTGAAGGCGCAAAAGGGTTTCCTCCCCTTGTTTTTTCATTTTTGATTAAAAGTTGTTGTTTTCTTTTGTGCACTTGTATAGATGAGCCTTGACCTAGTACATAAATGTCATCCTTCAAATTCATCCAAAATTAACGAATGAGTTTTTTTTTATCTTTCGATCGCTTGAAAAGTCCTTTAAAGACTTCAAAGTTCATATTGATAGTCAATTAATGGCTGGCGAAATTTGACGGTAAGTAACTAGTGCGAAAAGTTGGCGATTCTCACAATCGCGTTGTCGTCAAAATCTTGCACTGAGGAAAAAAACAAAGTTATAAAAAATCACTGTGCCATAATGGTAAATTGGTATTATTTCTCTGTCGTTTTTTTTTTTTTTTTGTTCTTTTACTTTTGGCAACCATATTTTTACCATTTAATTGCAAGAGAGTAATTTATACCCTATGCAAACAGTAAAAACCAATGTACATATACTAATAATAAAAATGAATGATAAAAAATAATTAAAAAGTCTCCAGACGAGGGAGAAGTACCAAATAAAAATTCCAGCATAATTTTGATTTCTCCCCCCCATCCCTTAGTTTACTTACCAAACGAAACCTGATGCTAAAGAAAAAAAAGCTCGAGACTCAGGGGGTGAAAAAAAAAAAATGTCCCTCGAAACCTTCGAGACAAGACAAGACTGTTAAACCGATTTCGCGCACTGGTTGCACTGCAACACATCATTTTTCATTAATCCCAAGTTAGCAGTGAATATCTTTCCAAGTCTTGATTCTCCGATTTCTGGATTAATCTTGAAAAAAAAAGCACACCTGTGATTTGTCAATGCAAAAAAACAGAGCAGCCCCCAGTACGAGATCCTACTGGGCGCGCAGATAGTGTGCCTCCTCACGGTCACGCAGACGAGCATCTGCGTGGACATGGCCGTGGCTTTCCTCATAATGATCGCCTGCGGTCACTTTCGGCTGATCCAAGTGCGGTTGGAGCGCGTCGCTCGGATGATCGATGAGAGCCAGCCGGACGAGCTCGAGAACAACGCCAAAGACATCAGGGATCACGTCAAAAATTGCGTGGCCTACCATTGCGAGATCATCGGGTGAGTTACTGGGGGGGGGGGGGGGCAAGTCTTCATTGTGCCCAAAAGAGGACTGGGTTGTTTTTCGTTTTCAAGGTTTTGCGGGGAAATAGCCACCCTGTCCAGCGAGATTTTCATCGTCGAGCTCATCAGCACCACCTACAACCTCTCCCTCATCGGTATACTGCTGGCTGGGGTGCGTGCGTGTGCTCGCTGTACACAACCCGACGCGCGAGACAAGTGCGCGAATAATCAAACATTTTTTGTCCACCCAGAGCATGCCCTTTGCCGAGAAATTCAAGTTCGCCCCGGTGCTGTTCATCTTGGCGACTCAGCTGTTTGTTTGCCAGTACCCGCCCGACCTGTTGCTTCAAGAGGTGAGAAACGAGGGGCGAATAAAAAAAACGAAATATCAACTAAAACGTAAATGTGCAATTGAAAAAAAAAGAGCGCAGGTGTGGCTGACGCGGCGTACTTCGTGCCACCGTTGAGGCGCGACAGGTTCAGGATCGACACTCTCCTGCTCGCTCTGTTGAGGAGGTCGCAGATACCGTATCAACTGCTAGCCGGTGGACAGATCAAGCTCAACATCGAGTCCTTCGGAAACGTGAGTCCTACTTAATTTTAATGCGATTGGTCGAATGATGATTGTCGCTCTTCTGTTTGCAGATGATTAGAGGGGCAGTGTCGTTTTTCACGGTGCTCAGGAACTTTAATTAGGGGCGCCTCTCCCAACGACGCAATTATTGAGTGTAGAACGACATTTAGTGGATTAAAGGTTTACTTTTACTTCGGAATGCTAGAAAATTGTATCTTTTTCCACCACTCGCTCGTCCTGAGATGTATTTTTTGGGGGACGTGAAATTAATGTTCCATAACTGTTGTATTTCAACTTATTTATTACGTAAATGACTTAGAAAAGATAAACATCTTTAAATTTCTTTTTTTCTCTTAACAATCGTAGATCATTGTTAACCTTATGATTTTTACCGTACAAAAACTCAAAATTAAACATTTACCGATACCTTTGTATCAACTTTGACTTTCGTTCAAACTGTTTGGTCACAGTTAACAAAACAAAACAAAAAAAAAATAAAATAAAAAAAAAACAACGTCGTTTAGAAAACTTATAACTACGAACTCAAGTTGTATTGTATAAAAATATAAGTTTAGAAGGAAAAAAAAAAAAATAAATAAATTTACAACGTGGACTTTGCGCACAATTGTAAATTATCAAAAGAAACTTCTAGAATTCAAAATAGTACAATAATTGAATAACAATGTGCTTTATAAACATGCTATTAATCTATGAAAAAACCAAAAAAAAGTGAAAAACCAATTAATGTTGGCAAAATTTGTTGTCAGGGCCCTTTGATTCCCTGTTTCGATTATTCAATGGAACAAGTAATGGAAAACTTAATGGCGCGTTGTTATTGCTCGGGTTGTAGTGATGGAAAGAAAAGCCGGGTGGAGCATTATATACAGTAGTAGGTTGTTGAAAAGGTTGACGTAAATTCATCCTTGGGTGTGCCTGTCCATATGATAGTAAAAAAGCGTCACCTGGGTGATCCTGGTTAGGCAAAGGTGTGTTATTGCTAGGCAGAGAAGGTGAAAGAAGTGGCTGTGGTGAATACTGGAACGGTGTCCCCAGGAAAGAACACTCCGACTCACTTCTTATGAGGTGATTATTACTGTCAAGTATATAATCTTGCGATTGATTTTCCATAAAGTGCGACCTCAATTCTTCGAGTTTTGACTAAAAAAAATTTATCCATGAAACATTTGCAGAGTAAAAAAAAAAAAAATATATAACTGAACAAAAGCTTACCTGAGTAGCAAATAAATTGGCTTCTGACGTAGCCAAGTATCTTTTGGCAGTAGCAACGATTTCCCCTTCTTTTAATATCTTTTCAATCAGGTACATCTCTAGGTCCGATATTTGGTGATTTGAAAGGCTACTACCACCATAGTTGTAGTAAGCAGAAGATTTGGTCGACGCAGCTTGCGTTTCTACTCCAACTGAATACTGAGTAGATGGATCTTGATTTTGAAAAGTTTTAGCATTTGAAAAACTTTCAAACGCTCTTGAAGAGCCCTTGTTAATGCCCAAATAGGAGTGATGGCAGTCGTTAGTTGGAGATGTATCAACAGATGTGTATGCTGGGGTAGTAACACTGACATTGGCCTGAATGGTGGTGCTAACGGGTGTATATTTACTTGGATCTATACCTAAGCATAAACAAATACAAAAATTCAATTTTACAAAAAATATCAACGTGCGGAACGGATTTAAAAAAAGGAAAAAAATATACGAACCTAGAGCACACTGAACATTTTGATTTCCTTCAAACGCCATTACTAAATTAGGCTTCAATCCCGAGTTTAAGCTCTGATTAACAGTGTCTTTGGACTTAACAATTTCTGGTTTAGGTTCTTTAGCTGCAACTGGAGCTACAACTACTTTATTCAACGAACTGTTGGACCCGCGTCTTTGATTTTGCAAAATATTTACTTTGTTTTCTGATTCTTGTTTAACGACAGTGTTACTTATCAACTTGGAATTTTCTTGAGTCTTGACAAGTGCCTGCTTAGCGTGATCAACGCTAATTTTCTGTTTTTCCGGTAATTTTGAATTTTTCGGTTCATTTTTGTTGGAAACATTTTCAAGCGGTGGGTTCCAATACTCTTCAGCCTTTTCTCTATTTTTTACTATTTCTCCACGTTGCTGCTGCTGTTGCATATTTCTGCACTGAGTGTCTTGTTTCATATCAGCATCTTGATTATTTTTAAAGGGATTTCGATTTCTTTGTTGATCACGATTTCTTAAGGATACATCTTTACATCTATCTGGATAATTTTGATTTCTATTAGAATTTCTATTCTTATCATCTTGTCCATAATGATTTCTTTGAACTTCATGATGATTATCTTGAGTTTTATTATTATTATTACCCTGATCTTTCTGAGCACTATTCTGAGCTACAGTACGACTGCCCTGAGCTGTGTTGTCAAGCATCTGACTTTTATTTGAAATACCTTGAGATTTGTCACGAGCTGGCTGCCTTAATCTTAAAAAGGAGCGATCTTGATACCTGTCAAAGCCGTCTACATTCCTGTGAGAATTCTGATTTTGATAAAGTAAGCTCTGAGGTGTCCTTTGATTATCTTGTCTTCTGTTCGAGGGAATCTGATTCTGTTGGCTTCTTGGAACTTCTGGTTTTGGTGCAGTTTTTTGATTTTTATTTTTTTGAGAATCGAAATCCATGTCACTACCAGATCTTCCATGTATCGGCCTTTCACGATTATTATTGAACTGTACATCTTTCTTTGCTGGTATTTCGTCGCTAGGCCGAGGTCTCAGAGCTCCAGGATCATTTTCAGAAAAACTTTTAAAAGCCTCCTGTTCTCTCCTTCGACCTCCTTTCCCCATAAACATGTGTTTTTCTGTGTGACCATCTAATCTACCAAATTTGTCGAAAGGTCCCGTGTCTGAATTTGCATCATTACCGTCACAAACGTTTTTTAAATTCTCTGGTAGATTACAATTATTTTTGTCCCTGAAAAAAGAGATGTGGGATTATAAACGATGATTGAATTTACTTTTAATATTGTAGAATAATCATTACCAATCTTTATCATTGTCGCTCAGTTTCATTTTTTCTTGCTCCAACGTTGTACCCTTTTTATCTTGCTGCACTGCACTATTACTGTCGACTAATGTTGGTATTGCCTGTTTTGTTTCTTTCACTTGACTATTATCAATCAAGTGTTGAGGAGACTCAATTATTTGCACATTCTCTGACGGTTCATTCTCAACCAGAGGCTGATCTCCCAAATTTGCAGTTGATTGTCTTCTGCCTTGTCTTCTTCTATTAGGGTTTTTTTTAGTGCCTTCATAGTAACTTTCGTTACAATCTTCTTTTTTTGGAAGACCTCTCAATGAAAGTCGAGAATATTGGTTAACTGGCACGTCACTATAAAAATTTATCATGTAAAATATTTCATCAACCATGTGAGTACCACAGAAATTTATTAAATTATCTACATACGTGGAAGGTGGATTTTTGAGCCACGGCATTGCCTGGATTTTGTCTATCACATCTCCTGGCTGGTCGGTCACGGAATTAGAAGCAATTTCACCATCAGGCTTGCGAATCTTTTCAACATATGAATCTTTAGTATAGTCAGCATTAGCTGCAACTTTTTTATTTTTCTCAGACTTTTCTTTGTCCAAACACACATTTGACGGGTTAATTTTACTTAATAAATCCACAGGCTTAACTTTAGGTTCTGCGATTTTATTATCAACTGTATTATCAATTGGATCATTTAATTTATCAGAGACAGTTTTGGTCACTGACACTTCTGAACTTGGTTCGTTCATTTTGATGTCGGTCTCCTGTAGCTTTATATCAATTGTTTTATTTTGTGTGTTAACTTCATCATTGTCTGCATACTTTGTCAAAACTACAGAAGGATCCTCAGAATCATCACAAATGAAAGTTTTCTCAAAAATATTATTATCTCTGTCTTGAAGACTTTTTTGTATGCTCAACAAAACTTGTTTATCCATAAGATCATCCAATAGGGTCGACTGTGTTTCATTTTTGGGTGGACCACCAGAGTCCTTCACATCATCGGATAATAACGCGTTTCTACTTTTATTATCAAATGAAATAAGATTACCATCATCTATGTAAGCATTTTTGTTGATGGGCGAGGAGTTTTTGAAATCACTGAGCACATCATCGATGCTCAACAACTCTGTTTGATTGCAGAGAACCTCCCTAGGAACACCATCAGCCTTATCAGTTGTCAAGCCAGCTTCATCTATGACAACCAATTGATGTGAATTGTTGACAGCGTCGTTAGAATTTTGGCGAGAGTCACCATTGCTACTGGCACTTGGACACGTCAATTCGTCCTGCAGATTGACTGTACCACTTATTTGCTGACTTTCAGCCATGCTTGGCTCAGGGCTTTGTTCTACACCGACTGCACCATCCTGCAAGGTGTTTTGATCCATTTTGTATCTATTTAGGAAAAAAAAATAAAACAAAAAAAATAGAATACAATTAAAATTGGGATCGACGCGGTAATAGAAGATTATGATGCAACTAATTAAAAAACATAAAAACAAACACGTATGCACCATGATTTTTGAGAGCAAGTACCTGCGTGTGTGTGTGGAAAAAGGGCGCAAAGACAAAACTCGTTAACCGCATTAACAGGTAAGTTAAGTACAACAACACAACAAGACAATGAACGATTCTACGATACAAAGCAATTACTTATCGTTGGCATTCTCTCAACATTCGATCCGTTTGTCTTTCTCAAATCTTGTAGGTATTGTGCAATCAAACAGGTAAGTAAGTATGTACACCTACACACGCTGGAATTGTATGAAGAAAAGTAACTTACGTGTTTAGCCTCTGTAATGGTGCTCGACGGCGACGATAAACTGATGCTCTCATAAAGGCAACTCTCTGCTGCTCTTCTTTTACATCGATCAACTTGCGTATTGTTCGAAAAGTTATTTACTAAACCTGAACTTCAAGGTTGTACTGGTCATTTACTTCCCCGATATTCGCTCTAAACTCTCAAGTGCTGATGTGTGTAGGTACGTGTTATTCTTTCATCAAATATTATGCACAAGGGCAATATGTATTATCAATCTAGAAAACATGCACGCACCGGCGCGCAAAAGAGAGCCGAGCCGGCCAGAGCCGCGCGCTTTTGCCCACAGCTTCCTTTGACCAATCTCACTTTTCCGCGTTCGCGACCAACTTTCACTTGTAGTTGTAGACAAATGAAACCCCCTATGAGTTTTTCTGGAATATGAATCCACAAGTTGTGGATTTACAATTGTAAATTTTGACGTGTTTCAATTTTTTGCACTTGTTTTGTTCGAATTGATCACGAGAGTTAAAATGGAATGAATTTCGAAAACAATCAAAGAACGAGACGTTCCGAGGTGACCACGGCGAGAAGTTCGTTGACTGCATATTAGCGCCAACCGTACGATCTCTCTACACAGTGGCAAAAATCTGAAGCACTTTAAGCTGAGAGGTGTAACCTATCTTTACCAAAATAATCAAATTGTCGTTAAGTCAAAGAAGCGGTTACACACTTACGTTTTATTCTTTAACTAGTAATTTTATAGTCAATATACTTACTTCACTTTGATCAATAAGTACCCAACTTTCGAGTAATTGTACAGTAAATACTTGACTCTTTTATATCGTTAAGTACATACCTAACTTTAACGCGCGGCGCGAATTAAGAAATATACCTATACTTATCGGACGATCACGTCAAGCTCGAGGTCTCGTGAGGTCCACGTTTGAATTGTAAGTATCTACTTGGATTGCGTTTTTTTTCGTTATTATTCCTCTTAATGTTACAGCAATCTATTAGCGTTTCTTCATGACTGTAACCACAGGTTAAAAAGTCTGTCTTTGCCGAGCAGGTTGTGCAGGTAGCAGGTTTGTCCAGAACGTTAGGCTGAATTCTTGCTTCAAACATGTACACGGGCTTTAGTAAAGTTAGTCATTTGGTAAGTACCAAGTTCTTGTATCACTATTTGAATTGTAAAAATCTCAAGTTATTATTGTACAAAATGATGTATACACTCAAAGCTCAAAAGTAATTTTTTAACGCACCTGTAGATTAAGATTAGTATACTTGTTAAGATTGATACAAATATTCTTCTGTATCAAAAAAATTTTAATTCTTTGATGAGGATTCACAGTATAGCTGTATAGAGCCCAAGCTTATCAGTCTCCACAGTAATTATTGACTTGACTTAAAATTTTTAGTTGAAAACATTATCTAAGGTATGCGTTAATTAACATTTAATGATTGAAACTAGATATAATAGTGTTTACAAACAAAACATTACATATTTGTTTGGAGTAAGTATATGGAGCAAAAGTATAAAGTTTTTTTTCATACATACAGATTGTAGGAAGTATATAAAAATAAAAGTATTTGCACATAAATAGTCAATATATCTGCTTTTTTTTGAATTACGTTTTTGTTTGTAATGATACAGCATGATTTTTGTTCAATCCTCACAATCGATTTCTGATAAACCTTCCAATTTTGTTGTACACCATATTAATTAACTAAATAGTATGGAAAATCACATGTTTTATTTTTTCTGAAGACAACCATAACACAAATAAATATGATACAAAAAAATCCATACAAAAATATATCTCTCTCTCTCTTTCAACAATTAAATAAAAATTTTTTTACCAATAACGAACAACATTTATAAGAATAATCTTATTTAAAAAATAAAAACAAGTATTTAGTTTCGAATCAACACAAAGTTGTATATAATAATTATGCTACCTAGGGCTGATTGTCCAAGTGATAGTTGATGATCCTAGAATTTAACGGTTGCGTTGGCCGAAAATTGTGTACATCGTCATTATTTAACTTGAGCCTTCTGAATGACTCCATCTGCAAAGTTTTGCGAGTTCATAATATAATGCCTAATATATTGAGATGTATAGCACAACAGGAGGATTCTTACCTCGTCTATGGTTACTTTTTTCACCCTCACCGACAACAACCACGTGACCGATTCACTGCACGGCGGGGTTGTCAAAGACCCCAAGTACGAGACGTATCCCTCTTTGAGTACATCAATGTCGAAAAGTGACAACGGAAAGGGATCAATCTCCGTCTTTTGGCCCGGGTACAAGATATTTGGAAAACTCGAGCGTATCCTCTCAATCCCCACATTCGCGTTCTTGTCGAGCTAGTGAAGAAGAAAAATGTATCTCTCATGAGAACAGAATTTTATTTCAAAGTAAACTAATGGCACAAGTATATATGTATACACTTACTGACAAAAGGTAGCCCACAACTGCTGCACCATCGTCGTGTTTCAAAGCTTCCACTATGGTCTTGTAAGCTTTTTTCCAGTAAACCATGTGCATCTCCAGCGGATAACTGTAAGTTAAAAAAACACTCAGAAACATAAGAATTCGTGCTCAAGGCATTGATCTTTTTCTCTCTTTCAAGACACCATTTACTGCCAGCATCAGCAAGAGGGAAACCAGTGAAAACCGAATGCAGTCGATTCAATGAACGAACGAGGTCTCGATGGAAACGCACACCAGGAGAATCAAGAAAAATGTCAAATAGAGAGAGAGAGAGAGAGAGAGCCGTCACCTGTGATTAGCGACCGTGTGCTCGCTGCCGTTGTCGTTCCCCTTGCCCCAATGGAAGTGCAGCTGAGCAAACTCGTAGACCCCAATGAGCGGCCCGCCAAATATAGCCGGCGCGTCCTGGGGCTTCCACTCGCCCGACAACTGCACTGTAATTTACACGATTATGTATGAGAGCGTCCCTCTCTCTTTCTCCCCCTCTGCGTGTACGCGATCAATCATTTTCGCCAAAGAGTAGGTATCCGAGTTTACCAGAGTGGCCGTTATTGACTATCGTCATTTTGAGCGGACGAGCCTCGTGGCCCGAGCTCCGCAGCTGAGGCCGACCTACAGCCGGGGACTGGACTTGCTGGAGGTCGATGTTGATGGGCGACTGGCGCGCTCCGCCGCAAGCCGGGAAATGCTTCGGCCACTTCCCCGGGGTCTTGTAGTCGAACCCGATATGATCTGCAAATGATACAAGCTTGTATGTGTGTGGGCATATGGAAAATTTGCATAAAAGTGTATCATACACGCGGTGCAAAAACTATTTTAGTCGACCCTCCGATGCGCATCTCTTTGTTCTCGTTTTGGACGCGTACACTCGCATGCTTTTATTAAAAGAGACTTTGATGCCTGCAGGGCAAGTGCTTTTTGTTTTTGGGTTGCGCGATATTTTATTTTTCATTAAACCCATTGGCGCGATGCAACATATTTAATATAGTGGACAAGGTTAATTGGGCGTATTAGCTGATGGGTTTCAGCGCGCCAAATGGGTGCCGTTTAACGATGCCGAAGTAAATTACTGGACGATCTAGAAATTGAGAAAAATTGGATCTTGTTTTTTTTTTTTTTTTTATCCCCCCGCCCCCCCCCCCAACGAAATCACTTTGAAAAAGAATAATAAAACAAAGCCAACAACGGCTCGTTTGGTTCATTGTTTACAATATGTGCTCGCGTTTATGTTTTTGACAAAAACAATCTGCGCGTCGAGATCCAAAGCAAGCATACTTTTTGGATCAGCAACGTAAAATGTAACCGTTGCAATGAAACACTCGATATTTCGTCCTCTATGAAAAAAAAAAAAAAAAAAACTATCTCACCTCGATTGGGAGTTGAGAAAAAGAAGAAGTATAAAGAAAAGCGTGCACTCACCATCAGCAAGTAAAAGCGTCGAAGATAGCACCAGCACAACGGAGGAAAGGACGAGCTTGCAGGGACACGAGAAGCGACGACGCGTAGGCGATGGCATGTTTCGCGCGCCTCGGCGCTTCGTCCGCGTTTTTGTAACGTTTGTAAAAGAGCGGGCCAGAACGTATCTCGTCGCAGCGGTGCGGGGAAGTACAGGCGATGCGAAGACGGGAGGTAGGGGGGGGGGGTGTTCATAAAAAGCCCATAAGGACGAAGTCTCCACTTGTTGTATTTACCATCGATTTTTTTTTTTTTCTTTTTCTGTTATTTAAATGCACTCGATTTTTTTGTTTAAACATAAACGTTTTCGTCGTTTATACACACTGAGGAATGTTTCTCGAGTGCGCGAAAAATACCCAAGTATCCGGTGATGATGCACCCGTCGTTTTGTTCTCTCTTCTGAAAAGTGCGAATTAAAACGCAGAGATTTCGATCTCCCCGGAGTTGTTAGGTATTGTTACGAGATACAAAGCGGTGAGAATACGTTGGAACGCTTTGAATTCAAATAGTTCCACGACGAATCGTACGTGATGCGATGAAAAACCGCCGCCCGAAGCAAGAATTTTCGTTCCACTTGTTTTAAAAAGCTCTCTAAACCATATCGGCTTTTCATTCCTTCGTTCCCTCGATCGAACGACGAGAGCTTTTTTTTTTTTTTTTTAAATCCTCGCATTTCTCCGAAAGAAATTCCGGTGCACTTGTTATGGGTCCCAAGCATAACTAAGTCCACCGACAGGGTCACATCATCATGATCATTATATTGCGCAATAAACGTCGCTCCGTTACATTACAGCTCTCGCGTGCGCGCGTGTACACCTACAGAGATTGGGTCGACGCGGCTGTATATATGTATCGGCGGTACACGCGCCATATGGGGGGGGGGGGGCTATATACACACATGCGCCTCTGACCTCCGAAGCTCTGCGCTTGCAGCGACCGTGAACGAGCCACTTGTGTGCGGTTACAAGCGTTCCATTGAGCGATTATTGAGCTTTTCTTTATTTTATACTCACTCTCGTGGATTGTTTCTTTTTCAACAAACTTTTTTTTTTGGGGGGGGGGGGGCTGTTGTATATCGATCACTTACGTGACAACTTTTGTCTTGTGCTCTAGTCCGGTCACGTAATTCATCTCTTCGGTGTTTCTCTGGTGGCGAGTCGGAAAAACTATTGATTTTTGCGTGTTGGGCAATATTGCGATACAAGGTTTTTTTTTTTTTTTGTCATGATTACGATGTAACTGTTTACTATTGGTATTTATTTAAAAAATAGTTGCTGCAGTTGCGAGATACTACTTTTCGCATGCCAAAGTAAAATCTGAGGTACGAATCGCGCCAGTTGCGGAAATGTCGAAATTCTTATCTTTCTCTCTCGTCTACGGTGCTACAATTTTTTTTTTCTTTTTTTTTTTTCGCGCTAACAACAGCATTTTTTATGTGCTTTTTTGTACCCAAACACGAAACTTTCGTGTGGGTTGTTTGTTTTTCTTTTTTTCCTCCTCGCAATTATTACATTTCGAAATCTTGCAGGAAATTTAAACTATTTACATTCAGGCTTAGGGCACGGGTGATTTTACAATTTTTTTTTTTTTTTTTTTTTTTTTGCTGATAGTGTAATTCACTACTTGTGCTAAGCATTTTTTTCCATTACCACTTACAACGCAGTGCTAAAAAAAAAAAAAAAAATTTCATCAGCAAAAGCAATGCATCGCAACGTAATTAAATAATAGCGGTTGAGAAAAGTATTTAAATATTTTACTTCAATTACTTCGCAAAAAAATAATTATAAGAAATTTTTCCTCATATTTTATTATGAATAGAGATATGCATTTCATTTGTGAATGAAGAAAAAAACTTTTTTTTTTTTTAATCGTTTATAAATCTGTACAATAATTATGTACAAGTCTGTCTGTATCACACTGTGCTTATTCGTTGTCCAAACAAGAAACTTTCCTGCTCCCTTCGTGTGGGTTACTTGTTTTTCTTTTTTTCCTCTTTGCAATTTTATGTTTTTGACGCTCATATAGGATATTTAAATTGTTTACATCTAGACTCGAGGAACACAGATTCTTTTAATATTTTTTTTAAACTTTTTTTTCCTCCATATGATAATTTAAAGTGTAATACACTATTTAAATTTTTTACATTACAATTTAATAGATTAACAAAAAAAAATTAATAAGTACTAATGTTTGAAATAAGCATCTAAATATTTGATTTCAAATACTTCAGAACAAACTATAAACCTGATATTTTATTGTGAATATGGGGATTTTGTCACCCAAAAAGAACGCACTGTATTTAAAAATCAAGAAAAAAATTTTTTTTTTTATTTCAAAAGTCCAAAAAACGATTGTGCCCAAGTTATATCACACTGCATTCGACGTATCGCAAAAAATTGAACAACTTTCCCAATCATAATGAAAAATTCACCCTTTGCAAACATAACTATTTTACAGCGATACAGGATTTTCCTACCCTCATTAAACATGTCTACCGAATAGAAAAAACATGTATCTTTACACTACAATGTACTCGGTTTTTAAACGCCGATGCCACTGCATCCGATGTAAGGAGCCAAAGAGTTCGTAACTCCAATCGACGTATTTTGCACTCTAGTAGCACATGGCTCGTTGGTCTAGGGGTATGATTCTCGCTTCGGGTGCGAGAGGTCCCGGGTTCAAATCCCGGACGAGCCCTCATTTTTTTTTAACCCTCACCCCCCGAGGTAACACAACATTTTAACATTGATTGTTCTTATCGTGTTTTCTTAATGTACCTATTACTTAAATGATGTATATTATTATCTACTATTGAGTCGATTTCACAAGTCAATCACAATTTTTATAAACAAACGGGATGGACCACACATTCACCTCAGACTCCTTTTTTGTTCAGAATTTTTTTGGAGACAATACCACAAATTGATCAAAAAAAAAAAAAAAATTACGTTGAAGCCCATTTACCTATAATCGTGTAACGTAAATAAATGAAAATTTGTGCGATCTGCTTTATCCTGGCGCGCCACGTCCGTTCAAAAGAGCAGTCGACTTTTTGATAGCGATCGCGGAGTGTAAACATGGTTTGGGATCCGACGAAAAAGCACAACGAAATGGAAAGGTGAGAGTTTTTTCTTGTCATCTTATCAACATTTGCGTCAAGTATAAACGTTTTGTTACGTACAATTGAAAATTTACGCTCGAGTGTAATCGATGCGATAAATCTGCTGTTTTTCGCTTGACAGCGATCTAACCTTCAATGCACAGTGACAACAGTCAGTTGCAATGTAAACAGATGTCTCATATCTTTTCGTTGATTGTAACAAAATGTAAGGCTTCTTTAAAAACGTGTGTAGCTCTTTAGTTCGCTATAATTTAATCTTTCGTGTTCAGATGGATCTGCATCTATCCAGTGTACATCAACAGCAAAAGGAGCCTAGCGGAAGGTCGCAAAATGCCACTGAGCAAGTGCGTGGAGAATCCAACTCACCAGGAGATCCGTGACATTCTCGTCAGTGCTCGCATGAACGTCGGCGTGGAGAACAAATTGCATCCCAAGGAGCGCAGCAAGGAGCTCCTCTATCGCGGACGCATTCGCGTACAGCTGAAAATGGAAGATGGCACTCCGTTCAATCCGGACTATCCGACCAGAAATTCTCTTTTGGAGTACATAGGCACTAGCATTCCGAAGCTCAAGACTAGGCAGGGAAAGCAGTCGGGTGGAGAACAGCAACAGCAGCAACAGAGCTCGTCGAGTGGCTCTAAAAAGGGAAAGGGCAAGGGGCGCAGATAATGTTGTCAAAAGTGAACGGAAAGTTGTTCAGTGAAAGGATTTTCCATGATTGCAGCTAGTGTTTTTTATACTGTGATTCATAATATATATGTCAATATAAACTAGTGCAAATCTCTTCTTACTTTCACTACTCTTCAGTTTAATGTTACATTAGTTTCAAGTACTTTTTTTTTTTACTTATTAATTTTTAAAGAGACAGTTTGAAGTAAAGATTTGATGGTTGTTACAAGAAAAAAAAAATAAAAAAACCAGGATTATTTGTATAAATTTATTAAATGTGTAAAAAAGCTTAAAAAATTGCTACATAAGAGTAAAAAATCGTATTCCTAGTAATTCACATTTGAAATAAAGGTAAACAAATTGTTCTTAAGTTTTAATGGATGATTTTTCTTTTTTGTTAAAGTCAAGTGATTTTTTAATCACATCTAACGGATTTTTCGTAGATTTCTTGCACAACTCCTTCTGTTGCCTTTCATTGAAATTATCATAATTATAGTTGAATGGCATTCCCATTAGAGAATCAGGATAATAGGCTGACGGCATTCTCGACATGAAACTATTTCTGTGTGGAATCCCTCCCATCATTGGATTCATAAACGCCATTGGAGAATAGTACATTGGAACTGGCATGGCTTTGTAATTCATCTGTGCCATATTTTGAGTCCGTGTCTTGACAGCGCAGTCAGTCCGGTCTTTCGAACCCAAACGCTGCTTTGCAGAATTTGAAGCCTTTGTACTTTGTGTGGCTCGTGATTTTTCTGTGCTGACGTCAGGATCAGTTGAAGTGCTGCTATCAGGATTTTCCGCACCAACGGTTGGATCATCGTCCGATGACTTGGTTTTAGACTTGCCATCTTTACTTTTTTTGGAAGACTTTGGGCCCGACTGCTGCTTCCGATTATCCTACATAAATATTTTTGTTTAAAATTTGCTTAGACACCCTAACGTTTAATTTAAAATAATTATTCATCAAACTCACTTTGTTATCCAAGTTTTGCATGAATACTCCCAAAATATTCAGAGGTGCCTTGGTCACTTGAGACTGACCAACATTGCCAAGAGCCTTTGGAATTTTTCCTATCATGTCCCTCATGACGTCTTGTATTATTTTTTTGCTCTCTGGGGATGCTGGAACAACCTTATTATTTTTATCTTGTTCTGTTTGTTCTTCGCTTGAACTGGACTTTTCAAAGCTCGAAGCCTCTGTTGTTGTTTCAGCCCTATCTTCTTTGGGCTGTTTAGCTTTTTTCGGACTCGTTGCTTTCGAACCAGAGCTTTTGGTACCTTTGAGTTTTGCATCCCCGACCAAATTATCCTTTTCATCCTCAGACTTGGTCTTACTTTGTTTGACTTTTGGAGCAGAGCTTTTGGTACTCTTGGACTTTTGTGGCGCAGGTGTAGTGACTGCTGATGAATCTTCAGCTTCTGAATCATCATTGTCGCACGAATCTTTAGGCGTTGTTGTCTTGGGTAGAGGACTCTTCACCTTTTTATTTGGCTTTGGCTTACCCATCGTTTCTTTGGGCTGCGTAATTATCTGTGCATCCCCGACCAAGTTGTCCTCTTCATCCTCAGACTTTGTCTTACTTTGTTTGACTTTTGGGGCAGAGCTTTTGGTACTCTTGGACTTTTGTGGCGCAGGTGTAGCGACTGCTGATGAATCTTCAGCTTCTGAATCGTCATCGTCGCACGAATCTTTCTTGGGAGTAGTTGTCTTAGGCGTAGGACTCTTCACTTTTTTATTTGGCTTTGGCTTAGCCATCGTTTCTTTGGGCTGCGTAATTATCTGTGCATCCCCGACCAAATTGTCCTTCCCATCAGTGAACTTTGTCCTGCCAGGCTTGGCTTTTGAAGTACTCTTTGGCTTTGGCGTATCTTCAGGCTGTGTGGCTTCATTTTCCAAATCGTCTTCATCGCGCGAAGCTTTCTTGGGAGCAAGACTCTTGCCCTTCTTAGCCTTTGGCTCATCCATTGATTCCCTGGACATTGGCGCGTCCTCGACCAAATTGTCCTTCCCATCGGTGGACTTTGTCTTACTAGACTTGGCTTTTGGCGTATCTTCAGCTTCGTCTTCCAAATTGTCTTCGTCGAGCGAAGCTTTTTTAGGAGCACTTGTCTTGGAAGTAAGAGTCTTGCCCTTCTTAGCCTTTGGCTCGGTCATCGCTTCCTCGGACATCAGCGCGTCCAAGTTGTCCTTATCGGTAGACTTTGCCTTGCCAGGTTTGGCTCTGGGCTGGACAGTGGTCGGTGGCTCGGTAGTTCCATCGCGAGGCTTCGGTCGGGCAGTTGGTTTTTTCTTTGGTGCTTTGGTGGGCTTGGGTTTCTTCGTGGGACGCTTCGTGGGCTTGCGCGAGCTCACGGTGGCGCTTTCGTCCGGATCCTTCGCCGCGGCCAGCCTCTTCTCCCCGCTCTCCTCGTCCAGCTTTTGCAGGTTCTCCCTGTCCTCCGACGAGTCCTCGTGGCTCTTTTTCTTCGGCTTCTGGAGGTCTCGCTCCGGCGCCACGAAAATCGTGCGGCTCTTTGGCTCCGCGTCCTGTTTGAAGTAGTCGGCGACTATTTGCGCTTCGTCTGGAAGTCATTGTTGGGATGGAAAAATGCATGGAAATTATTCTCTTGAAATTACACTTTATACAAGTACCGTTTTCGCTGCTTGGCGGATCCTTTTTGCATTTCGGGCTCTTCTCCGATTTACGGTGACCAGCTTGGCGTTTCCGACGAGAATCGTACTCTCGTTCTGCAACGAAATCGCTCACTTTGTGTGATTAATCATTTTTAATTTACATATAGATTCATGCACCGCTGTTTGTCCAATTTTTTACTAATAATCATTCTTATGGTGAACAAATTTTTTATTTCTATTACTACTTATTACAACATTTTTTCCAACGAAAGAAATACAATACAAAAAAAAAAAAGAAAAAAAAAAGAAGTTCAGAAAAAAAGTAGTCAAAGTGTTGAAATATTTTATTCAAACATTCGTTTGCCAGAAAAAATTTTTCTCTCGGTATTTGTATACAGTGTTGGATAACATAAGATTGCTGCAACAAAATGCACTTCACCCAGGACCAAAAAAATGTTTGTTTTGATTGTTGAAAAATCTATAAAATACTTATTTGTACCCAAGTCTGTTCACATCGTAGCAAAGAAAGAGAAAAAAATGCACCTTCGCCCACGCTGTAGTCGGAGTCGCAGTCGCATCTGTCATCTTCAAAAACTGCATCGGAACTCGAGCATATATCCTCGCAATCCTCGTAATCTCTGGCGTAAACTATTTCTCCTCTAGCTAAAATTCAAAAGGTATTTTTTTACTCTATAGTGCACTGTACAGAATAAATTTTTTTTTTTTTTTTTTTAACTCACCAAACACTGCGAGTATCGCCAAAACCGCAAAAACGACGAATTGAAAATCCATACCGTTACAAGGCCCTATCAACAACACTTTTTTTGGCGCTTGGTCGATGACTGAGAAATTTTCAAAGTAAGAGGGGAAATTTATACTTTTCGCGTGAAGAAATCGTCGCGATCATCATTTTTTTTTCTTTTTTTTTCTTCTTAGCGTACATACCCTGGCTTTCGACATTACACACCATCAGCAACGCGCTCTCAATAACACACTTTTCGGCTGTTCGTGTTATTGGCTCAATGGAATTCGAGCATTGGCAAATTTATATTAATTGGGTCAATCAAAGTATCTGGAACGCCAAAACGGCCACGAATTCGTTGCGCCACAATTTTTTTTTTAAACGTTTCACATAATCATTCCCATTGGTGTTTATAGGCGTATCGAAAAATTTGTCATTTTTTTTCAATCAAAAAAAAAAAAATAAAAATATAAATTCGCTCTAGCATTGATTCTCGTACTGACAAACCCTTGCTTAGCTTCGATAATCAAGCGAAAACAAAAATCTCAATCATCCAGCTGCACGTAAAATAAAAAATTAACGATCCCGTGCTGTGATTAATCAAATTTTTTTTTTCTTTTTTTTAGAAAAATGATTTAAAATAAAAAAAAAAACCTTCACCGTGACAATGCAGAGCATTGCCGTGACCAGGATTCGAACCTGGGTTACTACGGCCACAACGTAGGGTCCTAACCACTAGACGATCACGGCTATCGAAGGTCGGTGGCGGAGGTGCTCGATTAGCTCCATATGAGGCGGGCGCCCGTTGACCCGCTGAACCAACGTTAAACGTTGCGCACGGACTATAAGCGTGCACAATTTTTACATTGTTTTGCAAAGTCGTCGAGATTAAACAGTTAATTCGATCGAAATAATTTTTAAACTCGTTGAGCGTAAATAATGGCACGCGCCGAGCAGTGACTAACCGTCGGACAGTCAGGGATTTGCCTTTCCAGCCAAGCGTCACGTACTTACCGAGTTTCGCGACGCAATTGTATATATATTTGGATTGTCTCTCCTACGGTGATTAGAACACATCGCAGCTCCAAGACCTCACTAAGAGCTTATAATAGACGATTTAATGAACGCGGCCAGCATGAACTCGAAGAGCCGACAAAAAAAATATACATCTTCAACCTGATTAAAATTTAAAATACTCACGGGAGCCATCGTACAACTTAATTTCCCCCGTACAAAAATACTCATTTCCCCGACTCGCGTAGAAGGTGTAAGGAATAAAATTATTTATTTTTTAAAAACCCACCAAATATATAACCGTATCGTTTGAAGAAAAAATCAATGACACTTACTGAGGGAGAGAAAAAAAAAGCTTCGATCAATAGAGCATGAGTGGCGCGCTCGATGTACACGTATATCTATATAGACGCGGTGGCGGCGCGAAAGCTCCTGCTCGCGGCTGTTGGCCGGATGGCCCCGGTCCGCGAGCGACCGCCGTTGCTACCGCGGCGTCGTGGTTTTCGTCGCGGCGCCTCTCCCCGGCGCGACGTCCCAATCATAAACCTTGGTACTTTTTTTTTTTTTTTTTTCCCCTTTCGTATCGTCGTGCCGTGCAGATATATAGAATATTTCCACGTGGCAACGAGTTATCCAGAGGTGCTGAACGAGAATTTCTTCTTTTTTTTCTTCTGTACTTTCATTTTTTAATTAATTTATAAGTATCTTGAATTTAGGCTTTTGCGCTCCGATTCGCGCGACATGACGGACGGTCGTCCGTATAAATGTATCCCTCGAATCGGCAAATTTACGTAAGCGCGAGTTATTCCAGGAAACTCGATCGGGGTAAAAGGAAAAAAAAAAAAAAAAATTCAGCGTGACTCGAGAAATCCATACATCATCAAACTCTCGAGCTCCGCGATTCGGCTGAGCGCCTGATTCGCGGAGTCTCCAAGAGAGCCTACCCCAACGACATGAGCACGCAAGAGTCCACCACGTCGCTGCTGTGACGTTTCGGTGCGTCCTTCACCCCCCCCCCCCCCCTTAAACCCCTTTATCCTTTGGAAAATGTGCACGACCCATTTCATCAAAACATACACGACTACGTCATGCGTATGAGGAAATTAACAAATGATGTCCCTACCCCTATTTTTATAGAAAAAAATTTTTATTTTTTTTAGGCATACCCTTCAAATTAAACTCATTTTACTCGCGATGTCATGTCTTATGAGGTAAAAATTTTGAACGTGGGATTCAGTGAACGCGAGATCTGTTTGTGTATGGTTTTTACATGTAAATCGCTGAAAAAGAGTGTCACCCTCACTGAAACCCGTGTTCAAAATTTTTACCTCATAGTACATGTCATTACGAGTAAAATGAGCCGTATCTTGAAAACGTGCCTCAAAAAAAAAGTTTTTTATCGAAATAGGGAACAAAAACGGTATATTTCTCGTGATTTTCCTCATAGAGTTTTTGCCCGGTGCACGAGTTTTTTTTTTTTTTTTCTTCATTCGATCCAAGCTCTTGGCAGAAAACTGGTTTATACTTCTCTCGGTTGGACAAAATTTTCCTCGACGCATCGTAATAATTATGTAAAACACGTACTTTATTCGACAACCAACAATTACATGAAAATATACACCTGCATGACCGACGAGTGAAAAAAAAAAAATCCCCTGGCAGCCTTTTTTTTTGTCCCCCAAGACGCACACGTGCGACGACTCAGTACTCCCAGTTCCTCCGAAACTCTTCGACGATCTGCCTGACTTTTCTCCTGCACAACTCCATGTTTCCCTGATCGATGTCGCAAACCTGTATTTTTTTTTTTTTTTTTTTTTTTTTTTTTTTTTTTTAATGGGTTTTTTTTTTTAAAAAAAAAACTTTTTTTTTTTTTAATCGTTTATAAATCTGTACAATAATTATGTACAAGTCTGTCTGTATCANTTTTTTTTTTTTTTTTTTTTTTTTTTTTTTTTTTTGTTTCATTTCCAATTCAAAAACCTCACATCAAGATGTACAGAAAACAAAAAAATCACCTTCTCGGCAAACTCCCGCCTGCGCCGCCGATCCCTCGCCTCGATCCTCCCGCAGGCGCGCGCGTTCCCCGCCACCTTGGCCCTCAACCGAGCCAACTCCTTCCCGGCGGCCCCCGAATCCTCGAGCTCCACCAGCTTCCTGTGCACCCTCCTCTGCCTCTCGGCCACCTCCTCCGCCCGCTTGGCCCACCTGCCCCCGTAGGCCGCCTCGTAATCCCGCCGCGTCTTGTAACTCACCGCGCTCGCGAGCTATATGAAACAATAAAAAAAAAAAAAAAATACAACACGCTCTTAATCCCCGGTGTATAGTGGCGCGACCAAAAAGTCAAACCTCCATGAAGGCCTTTTCGAGGACGACGGGGCAGTCTGGGCCGGGGGCGACGTGGGGATCGGTAATTTTCGAGCGCTCGGTGTCGAGCCACCACTCGATCTTCGCTGCAATCCGTGGCTCGTCGTACCCCCGCAGAAAGGACTCCTCGGCGTTGACGCGCTCGTCCATTCTTGTGACCACCCGCGCGCTCTCGGCGAGTACTCGCCAGCGCTCGGCCGACAGGTCCTCCCGCCGATCGTTCGGCCCCTTGCCGATTTTTTGGCCCATGCTCGTTTGGGTTCGCGATGCCGATCGATGCGCGTCTTCGGCTCGACTATATGCGAAGCGCGGTTGTATGAATATTTGAAAATCGCTAGCCGCTTTTCCGCGACGACATCGAGCGGCCGGCTTGCCGAACTGCCGCGCGCGTGTGTGTGTGTGTCATATACCGCCGGTAACTCTCGGATTTGGCGCAGGGTAAAGAAGATTACATTTTAGGGTGGCTGGTGGAGTTTCCATCGCGAGGGCCTTGAAAGTTCCTTTGATTTTTTTTTTCTGAGACTCAAGTGAGGGTAAAGTACCCAATTAGTAGAGTAAAACTAGAATCGTAAATACATGGCAAATCAAGTTGTCCGTTGATTTTCTCAAAATTGCAATTCTCCTGTCGTATACGTAGCACCTCCCCTTTTTTTTAACTGTACAAACATCCAATAATTAGGCAATTTTATAATGTAAGAAACGTGATTTTTTATGAATATACATATAGCTTGTGTTATCACTAATTTTTGTCCATATATACTTACTTACTTGAAAATGAAGACGTGGATTATTTGCAATATTATTAGTATGCAGTTTCTGTTTGAATACCAGGACTGGTGTTGTTTTTCATTACCTGATTATTGGGCTATTTTATTTATTTTATCCATTTATTTTAAATGACGAATGTGTTTCTTCAAATTATTAGTTGCAATAAATATCTTTTTTTTTCATGCTTCGATGAGACAGTTGTTTGCAACCCAAAAAAAAAGTGTCCGTAAATTGGCTATACTTGACCTTACTCTACAAAAGTCCCAAATATAATCGAGAATTGTAATCGTCATTTCTCGCTGTTTTCTTACTTTCGTAAAAAAAAAAAAAAAAAAAAAAAAAAAGGATACGATTTATACGAATTTTTTCATCTCTCGATACCAATACACATATAAGATTGTGAATATCGATGAGCCTATTGTTGTCGAGGGGCGGGCAAAGCGGAGATTACACTGTCGCGAATCGACAGACGTGCCCAGGTATATATACTTACGAGACAAGCTGCGTAGCCGCGTCTCCACCACCTGTCGATCACACACCCACGCAGACGGACGTCCGCTCCAGTTTCTATACATAGGAAGTAACGACATTGCTACACAAGAGATACTTTCTTGCAAAAAAAAAAAAAAAAAAAAAAAAAAAAAAAAAAAAAAAAAAAAAAAAAAAAAAAAAAAGAAGTGGAAATTTAATCAGCCAAGATTCCTTCGTACGTGTTGTACACGTACAGGGTACTTTCAGCCTCTCCGTTGCGCGGAATCAATCAGATAAGCGGGGCATCAATTAGAGAAATCGCCGAGAGACGTTTTTCCCGTCTTTTGCGCCCGATCCAACCCTACGTATAGTTTTTCTTTGCAAAGATTCATTGGTTTTCTTTATATCTTCCACTTTGGGGAAAAATCCATCGAAAATGAAACTCCCACTGCGAGTTTCGACATTTTTTTATTATTCTTTTTTTTTCAATTTTGAATTAAATTTTTTGGGGGGGGGGATTTCTATACGTACGTATGTATGTATACTGTGCCACAGTGTAAAGTTTCACAGGATTCCTCGCGCAACCAATTTCGGCCTTGCATCTTCCTCTCTCTGTACATGTGTATCTATTTTGTATCATCTCTCATCCTTTTGTGCACGAAAAATCACGTGTATATATATGTACGTATCTATGTGAGAGATAAAAAGAAAAGGAGCAGTAAAGGTAGAGAGAGTATCTCTTTACTTCCTACTCGGTGCCATATCCCTTTGTGCTTTCTTTATCTCTGTCTCTCGCGTTTTTACATATGTACGAGCTCCCTTTGTGCGTCCCATCGCATTCGTTCTTTGCATTTGTCATGCTTCCTTTTACCCCTGTATCGGACCTTTTTTCTTTTTCGTTCTCCGTTATTATACATTGCGCGTCGCAGTCTCGCAAGCCACGAGAGGACCCACATGGGCGAACGGCCTTTCCAGGACCTCGATATGCTCGCAAACATTTGGCCGCGGGTTACTTAATATAGTCCGTCCGGTGCTCGGTAACACGTCTGGTAAAGTTCAGCCGGACATTAAAAACTTTGTATAACGATCGCCGTGCCATTTTACCATTTTACCCATTGTAGTTGTTCAATTGGGTCGCAGTGGTTGATGCTTGAGCTATACATGATCGGTTTTACTTTTAACAAATTCCATGGTGGGCATCTTAACAGCTGCTGATGCGTAGAGCAGTTTAGATCAGTTCAGATTCTCGAAGGTCTTCGGTTTCAGTGTGGGAACAAGTGTGGTTCTGAAAAAAACAAAAAAAAGATACGTCAAGCATTTGATTAGGAGTTCAATATGTACAATTACATTTTCTTTTCTATTTTTGTTTCCAACCCATCGTTAATTACATTTTTCATGAGTACAAGAGTGATAACAGTACGAGGCGTGTGGCAAACGCTTAAATCTATTTTTACTGGCACTTGGAAAAATCGAGATGCGAAAATTTCTTATCCAAACCTATAAATAAGTATGCCCCGTCGTCAAAAGAATAATAACGATGAATAGTATAATTTTTTTTTCCGCACTCGGGTGGTTTTGGGAGGCTGGTACTTCCTCGGGCGAAAAAGCAGTTTTCCGGAACTCGTTCGAAAAGTCTCCTTTACGAACCTCGTTACGTCCCTCGCCTACGGCTCAGGCCGCAAACCTCTCGGTTCGCAAATATAGACTTTTCAAACTCGTAGGAAAACTACTATTTCGCAAAAGTGTGCGGAAAATGGGTGTTTTCCGCACTGGTATTAGTGTGGAAAATCGATTTTCCCACATAGTGTGCGACAAAGGTTTTTCCGCACAGTATGCGGAAAAGGTGTGTGGCAAAGGTTTTTGTCGCACAAGGTGTGGAAAAAGTGTGCGGAAAAGGTGTGTGGAAAAGGTTTTGCCACAAACCGGAAAAAATTTTGCTACACACTGGAAATCAAAATTCAAACCTATTTTGTACCTATTTTCCTCACACATTGCGAAAAAACTTGTACGCAACTCGTGCGGGACGATTTCCCGCACTCGTGTGATAAACTCGCACTCGTGGCCGGTGATGGTAACTCGTACCTTGCGATCACACTCGTGCTACGCACTCGTGTGCCCAACTGGTACTAGTTCCCGTCAACTCCGGCACTCGTGTGAGTCAATCACTACTCGTGCGGGAAATCGTCTTTTCCGCACTTGTTACGTAAATAACTATTAAATGTCACGGAAGTTTACATTGTTGGTGTATATGTATATATTTTTGCCGTGCTGTCATGCAATTTTCGTCCATCTCGTAAAATTTTAAAACTATATGATTCGTATCGTTCATGTTTCTAAGTGTACGAACGTAATTCTTTAACTTTGATTGGTTCGGTAAAAATAAATAACGTTTTGCAAACTAGATCTACAGCATATATATCTCACAGAACTGACGCAAAAAATCCAAAAGATTTTACGTATTCAAAGAAAGCGAGTCTTTTCTTGTTCTCTCGGCGATGCGAACTCGAGCACGACTGCGACCAACGGCTAAAAAATACGAGCAAGCTCCACTAGCCACGTATATATTTGCGTATACGTGCAGCTCTCAAGAGTTTTCTTCACGCAAACCCGCGTAAAACACGAAAATCCCTCGGAACACACGTAAAAATAATACAAATTACACCACTCGAGCTGAAGCCAACGAACGACATGTATACTTACGTACTTACCTCATGGTTCCACGCGTCCAACTCCCAAAACCGGATTGTCCCCATCTTGCGGACAAACTCTGCTGCACCCACTGGCTGCTTTATAGTTACATATACACACGGTTATAATTGTTTTCTAACGAGCAGTATCTACTCGGTGTGTGCGCGTTCGACGACGCGCGCAGCTATTCCACCTATATATCCACGATAAAAAACAACACTCAACAAGACGAACGAATATATGGCACCCCAAACCCTACGTGTAGATATACCGGGGGGGGGTAATATCAGCTCAAAGCACCCCCTCGCACACAAAAGCTCCTCCGTATCTCGCGTGTAACCACACGTACACATCGACCTCGCGTCGTACACCACCAGCTCTTTGAAAGGTATCACCGTCCCCCTTCCCCCGTTTTGCGTTTTTATCCGAGCGGCAAATTGAACTAAAAATATAATCCTTTGCCGGGCAGTTTAGCGTGTACCTGTTTAACACACGTGTATATATACCAGCAGAGAGTCAGAGAAGAGGGTCGAGACGGGGTTCACCTGACCGTTCATGCGTGCCCCGACCTAATACCCGCTCGCGCGAATCTCATCCGATGTGCGACGCTTATCGCCGCTTGTATACATGTATACCACACATATGTACGCACTGCACGCCCTTTGAAGTTGTTGCCGTGTGTGTGTGCGCCTAACGCGCAACGAGTAGGTTGACGGGTTGAGGTTACTCGCCACGCCATCGGCTCTGGTTTTGTTACCTTTACACCCCCCTCCTCCTCCGGCGTTGACTATATGTACTCTCTTTGTTTGGGGGGGTGTAAAAACATCGTAAAAATAGAAATCCAAGGAGAGAGGGTGACGATACTCCGCTCTCGGGAAAAACAAGTTTTAAGGGAACGGCTTTGGAGCGGTTCATCCGATGATCTTTTAATGTTTATCAGTGGGGGGCGAAGCTTTTGTTACTTGGTTTCGCGAAATTGAAGCTTTGAACTCAACGCCCGTACAGTATGGGCTATATTGGTCTCGTTCGAAAGACTCGAAATAGTCTTGGAATCGACGTTTTACGTATATTACCTCTCTAAACTTTTTTTTCGCTCGATCGAGGTGACATCTGCTTCTGTACAGCACCTCAAGTGTATATATTACACTCTATAGCTCTTGGTGAGACTTGATTCCATTTGACCATCGTCTCATTGTAATAAACGTTTTCGAGTGTACAGCTGATAACACTGGAGTGCCTATGTATACATTTACAAGCGTGGGGGAGGCACTGAATCACCGATCCGATAATTGCAGCGATTATTCGAATACCCCGAACGTAAATGGTCACGGCGTGGCTGCCGCGCTGATA